CTCTGGGCCTGGGCGCTGTCCCTCAGCTCTTCAGCTCAAGGCTAGCGCTCTACCACTTGAGCCACAGTGCCACTTCCGGCTTTTTTCTTTTTGCTTATGGGGTGCTGAGGAATCGAACCCAGGGCCTCAGGCATGCAAGGCAAGTGCTCTACCACTGAGCCACCTTCCCAGCCCCCCACGAAAGGAATCTTGAGGCATTGTTCTACCTGGTTAACTAGGAGGAGCACGAATGGCACTTCCTGCAAACCTTCACCTTCTGGTGCTGGGTGTCAGACCTTTGCCCTGACTTGGAGGAAGGGGAGTCCCCCTATTTCCCCCAGAGGAAATGCATGCCAGCAGGCACCCTCACAGCACACAGGGACTCAGATGGGGTCACGAGAGTTGATGCCTACAACACTTCATGAGTTGCTTGACAATAGAAAAAGCCAATGGGGCCAGGCACCGTCGGCTCACGCCTGTCATCCCAGCTACTCAGGAGGCTGAGATCGGAGGATCACGGTTCAAAGCCAGCCTGGGCAGGAAAGTCCGTGAGACTCTTATCTCCAATAAACCACTAGAAAACCAGAAGTGGCACTGTGGCTCAAGTGCTCGCCTCGAGCTGAAGAGCCCAGGGACAGCGCCAAGCCTAGAGTTCAAGCCCCACAACCCACCAAAAAAAAAAAAGAAAAAGCCAATGGGGCTGGGAAGGTGGCTCAGCGGTAAAGTGCTTGCCTCCCATGCATGAGGCCCTGGGTTCAATTCCTCAGCACCACATACACAGAAAAAGCCCAAAGTGGCGCTGTGGCTCAAGTGGTAGAGCGCTAGCCTTGAGCTAAATTGCTGAGGGACAGTGCCCAGGACCGACAAAAAAAAAGAAAAAGAAAAAGCCAAAAGGGAGGCACTTCTCTTCTGCTGTACGGTCTTAGCCACAGGATTTGATTAATAGGCCTTGGGTTCTGTCCTGAGCCCCTGCTGCAAGAGCGTCTATGCTTCAGCTCACACCTTTTCCAGCCATGGTCTACAGTAAGATGGAGCCAGAGTGACACCAGCTGATAAGCCCGCCCTGGCCACAACAGCTTGTCGTGGTGTGTGTGAGTGTTAGTGCTTCACAATGTGTTAGCAAGGGTGCTTTCTGACAAACAGCAGGAGTAGAAGGGCTAACTTGCACTGGGGCAACTGTATCATAAAAGGACTAAAGTTTGGTTTAGAGCCTTGCGAAGAGCAAACTGAGTCAGAGATATACTCTTCCGCCCGGAGAAGTTCTTCTTCTCCTTCTCCTTCCCCTTCCCCTTCTCCTTCTTCTTCTCCTTCTCCTTCCTCCTCCTCCCTCCTCCCTCCCCCCTCCTTCCTCCTCCTCCTCCTCCTTCTTTCTTCTTCTTCTTCTTCTTTCTTCTTCTTCTTTCTCCTTTCTTTCCTTCTTTCTTTCTTTCTTCCTTTCTTGCCCCAGGTAGTAGGGCTTGAACTCAGGGCTTGGGCACTGTTCCTGAGCCTCTTTGTGCTCTACCACTTGAGCCACAGTGCCACTTCTGGCATTTTCTGAGTACTTAAGGAGATGAGAGTCTCACAGACTTTCTCAGACTGGCTTCAAACCACAATCATCAGATTTCAGCCCCCTGAGTGGCTAGGATTCCTAATGTGAGCCACTGGCACCTAGTTTACTGTGAGAACTTCTATGTTGATTTCTGTATTTGTGTTTTCTCTCTATATGTAAAGGTTTGCATATTTCTTATGATGCCTGTCCCACAATACATCAGTATCAAATTCCAGAAGTTAACATAATCACTCTGGCAAAGGGCTCTATTTTGGCAGGATTTTCCTTTTCTTCCTTACTCCTGCTTCTTCTCCCTCTCTACTGCCTCCCTCCCTCCCTCCCTCCCTCCCTCCTT